AGAATAGAATAGAATAGAATAGAATAGAATAGAATAGAATAGAATAGGAATGGAAGAGGAATAGAATAGGAATAGGAATAGGAATAGGAATAGAATAGAATAGAATAGAATAGAATAGAATAGAATAGAATAGGAATAGGAATAGAATAGAATAGAATAGAATAGAATAGAATAGAATAGAATAGAATAGAATAGAATAGAATAGAATTCTTTATTGGCCAAGTGTGATTGGACACACAAGGAATTTGTCTTGATGCAAATGCTCTCAGTATACATAAAAGATACATTCGTCAAGAGTCAAGAATCATCAGGTACAACACTTAATAATAGTCATAATATTTGGAACAGACTCTCCTGCTCTAGCAGGGGGTTGGACTAGATGACCTCTAAGGTCCCTTCCAACTCTGTTATTCTATGATTCTATAGGGTACAATAAGCAATCAAATCATACTAGGAAACAGTCAATATAAATCATAAGGATACAAACAACAAAGTTACAGTCATACAGTCACAAGTGGGAGGGGTGGGTGATAAGGAACGATGAGAAGATTAATAGTAATAGTAGTGCAGATTTTGTAAATAGTTGGACAGTGTTGAGGGAATTATTTGTTTAGCAGAGTGATGGCATTTAGGAAAAAACTGTCCTTGTGTCTATTTTGAGGGTAGGAGTTGAAACAGATTATGTCTGGAATGTGAGGGGTCTGTAGATATTTATATTTTTATTTATAAATATATAAAAATAGCTATATGAATATATTCTCATCTTTTGGATAATTTATTCTATGTACATCGGAGGCAGGCTGCTCTAGAGGCAGAAGGTAGAGACACCTGTGATTTCTCTGTGGGTTTTTAGTTGTAACATGATCTTGTTTTAAAAGCATGGAGCTTTCCCTGTAGTTAAAAATAATAACAATTTGCCACGCATAATCATGTCGTTCATTCATTCATGTCAACCATCATATTCTGTACAAATAAAATGCATTGAACTGGTTTGGCGCTTCTCACTAAGGAAGATGCGTTTTGCCTGCCGCTAGGAAAATATGCGTTTTGAACTTTCGTTGATGGTGGCTTTTCTTCTTCATTGTTTCTGGAGATATATGCACAGCTTTTATATCTAGAGTTTAAATAACATTTAGATACAAAAAGTCAAAAGCTTGGGAGCCATTAATTCTATCTAGAACGGTGTTTCTCCACCTAAGCAACTTTAAACTGTATTGAGTTCAACTCCAAGAATTCCCCAGCCAGCCTCTATTCTAGAAGTAAATGTGGTAACATTGGATTGTATGGAAAAGGAAATCAGATTAACTAGGAAAAGAATAGAATAGAATAGAATTCTTTTTTGGCCAAGTGTGACTGGACACACAAGGAATTTGTCTTGGTGCAAACGCTCTCAGTGTACATAAAAAGAAAAGATTCATTCATCAAGAGTCAAGAATCATAAGGTACAACACTTAATGATAGTCATAGGGTACAATAAGCAATCAAATCATATTAGGAAACAGTCAATATAAATCGTAAGGATACAAGCGACGAAGTTACAGTCAAACAGTCACAAGTGGGAGGGGATGGGCGATAAGGAATGATGAAATGAATAGTAATAGTAATGCTACAAAGAGCCAATAGCCATTCTACTAGTTTATAAATATCATCATATTACAGCATGCACACTGCACACTGAAAACAGGGTGCCTGTATTATCTTTTTTTAATAAAACTTTATTTAAGTTAGAAGGAAAAATAAAATATAAGAAAAGAAAAAATAAACAGGAAAGAAAATACAGATTCCTGCAATAGAAGAATGTTCTGCCTATGTTTTAATGTTCTCCTTTGGATGAGCAGTTTTGACAAGCAAGCTGTAACTTAATATTTACGACAGGGTGGCTCAAGAATTGTGGGAATTGATAGATGCCAGTTCATAGAAAAGACTGCAGCTGTATGTCAGCAGGAAATAATAATAATAATAATAATAATAATAATAATAATAATAATAATAA